GACAAACAACCTACTCTCCAATAAACAATTTGGTTTCAGAAAAAAACTATCCTGTAATCTGCAACTCTTACACTGCAAAAACATATGGACTACACAACTCGATCAGGGCAAATCAATAGACGCAATCTACATAGACTTCTGTAAAGCCTTTGATTCAGTGGTACATGACAAACTACTCCTAAAACTAAAATCTTATGGTATCTCTGGACACCTGCATAACTGGATAGAAGCATTCCTGTCAAACAGACAACAAATGGTCAAAATTGGGAGCATCCTATCAAATTCTGTACCTGTCAATAGTGGTGTCCTCCAAGGCAGTGTTCTAGGACCAACTCTCTTCATACTCTACATAAATGACCTCTGTGATCATATTAAGAACAACTGCGTTCTCTTCGCTGACGATGTAAAGCTATTCAACACCACAGACAATACTGCTATCCTTCAAAAAGACCTTGACTATGTATCAGAATGGTCAAACAAATGGCAACTTCAAATCTCAACAAATAAATGCTCTGTCTTACATAGGCAAAAAAAGTCAGAAAATAAAATACAGGCTGAATAGTCAAGACCTTGTTGATGATCCAAACTCTGTCAAGGATCTTGGAGTACTCATCTCTAATGATCTAAGTGGGCTAGAGCCCACTGTAACTACATAGCCAAAAAGGCATTAAGAGTTGTTAACCTAATCTCACGTAGCTTTTTCTCTGGTAATATTACACTACTAACTAGAGCAATCAAATCGTTTGCTAGACCATTACTTGAATACAGCTCATCAGTCTGGAACCCACATTACGTATCTGATATTAATACAGTTGAGAAAGTCCAGAAATATTTCACAAGAAGAGTTCTCCACTCCTCTACTCGTTGCAGAATACCTTATGCCACCAGACTTGAAATTCTAGACCTAGAAAACCTAGAACTACGCCGCTTCCGGTCCGATCTAAGTGTAGTGTATAAAATCATACATTGCAATGTCCTACCTGTCAATGAATACTTCAGCTTCAACCATAATAACACTAGAGCAAACAATAGATACAAACTCAAGGTTAATTGCACCAAACTTACTGCAGGAAATACGACTTCAGCAACAGAGTGGTCAATGTCTGGAATACTCTACCTGACTCTGTGGTTTCTTGCCCAAACCCCAAAAACTTTAACCTTAGACTGTCTACTATTGACCTCACCCCTTTCCTAAGAGGTCTGTAGGGGGCGTGCATAAGCGCACCAACGTGCCTACCGTCCCTGTCCTATTGTTTCTTTTATTTTTCTTATATGTATCCATGTATTCATAACTATGTTTTTACTTATATCTGTTATCTTGTATGCAATTGACAAACCAAATAAAATAAATAAAATAAAATATAGCTTCCTGAAAGCAAGGCTGGATGACCACTGGAGTAGATGACAGACAAGAGTTAGAGTCTTTCCTGCCTTCTAGCCATCCTTTAGATATTTGCAGCCCTCAATTACAAATTTCCATAGTGCTGTATGAAACCTCAGTGGCTTTTAGCAATGGTTATATGAAAATTGTACTTTCTTGTTGGGTGATATTTTTTTGGTAAAGTAACAGTATTGTTATATTGATATGGCAAAGGCAGATCATTTTTCAGCTGAAATTTTGATGTCTCATAAGCTGATTGCCACCATTACACACACACATCCAAAATCAGAAAAACTTAGAGCAGCTTCATTGGAATAATAATGCATTATTGTGAGAACATTTAAGGTTGTGAACATATGTGACTTGATGTCTATTTTTAAACAGTTTTCAAAATAAGAGACAGATCTAGATATCCCCTTTGTACATAAAGAATTAGTTGGAGAATAGAAAGAGAAAAGAATTTTGATTGGGAAATTTTGATTTTGTAAATGAGTGGATCTTCCTTGGGCTGCAATATTTATTTGTTTTCTAAACCGATATCTGGGACAAAATGGCATGCCTAGCTACTTCCCAGTATTTGGTGGAACACATTACATCCCCATCAGTATTTCAAACTATCCAAGATTATTTTATTTTCCAAGAATTATTCTCTGATAATTTCTTGCTATCCTAACTTTGCTTTGTTCCTATTTTGCCCATTATAGGCCGTTTCTTTCCTTAAATGTTGTTTATTTTTATTTTTTATTTATTTATTTGATTTGTCAATCTCTTACAAGATAATAGGTATAAGTATATATATAGTTATGAATACATGAAATGGGTACATATGAGAAAAATAAAAGAAACAATAGGACAGGGATGGTAGGCACGTTGGTGCGCTTATGCACACCCCTTACAGACCTCTTAGGAAAGGGGTGAGGTCAATAGTAGACAGTCTAAGGTTAAAGTTTTGGGGGTTTGGGGAAGAAACCACAGAGTCAGGTAGAGTATTCCAGACATTGACCACTCTGTTGCTGAAGTCGTATTTCCTGCAATCAAGTTTGGTGCGGTTAACCTTGAGTTTGTATCTATTGTGTGCTCTTGTATTCTTATGGTTGAAGCTGAAGTATTCATTGACAGGTTGTTAATATAAATGATAATGATGATGGTTGGAAACAAGCATGGAAGCATATATGAATGTTTTAATATGAAACAATTACAGTTCACTACTTAAACAAGTGCCTTATAATGTGTTGTCTTTGCAGGTTGGGGATTCTGGAAGTTGAAGTTCAGCATATCTGGAGAGCACCATTGTGGGAAATACTGAACTTTCCCACTGTCAAAAACCTTCCCAGCATTTAAATCACTGCAGAGATTAAATGAATGCAGTCTAAGCCAGGAGCTGAAGACACTTCAACCATGCATTATTTTGTAGAGTATGGGGGGCTTTGCAAAGTAATCCTTGCTTTGACAAAAGGGATTTTAAAAACACAAATCTGTTTTCCTCTTTAAATAATGGAGGGAATACACAAGGCTTGGCTATCAGGCTGTTTTGGGCCAGGGTATCAGAAGATATGTACACTGGGTTTGGTAAACTATCTGAAGATTAATGAGCTCAAATTCTGGAGAAAAAAAATAATGTACTACATGAGGGTGTTAGTAGTTCAGGCAGCAGAGACCAAATTTTATTTTATTTTTGTGAGAGAGGCCTAATTCGAAAATGATTTCAATGGCTTCAATTGATGAAACTACCTTTTTTCTGCCACTAATGCCATTTTCCAAATAAAAACATTTGAAGGTTCTGATTCAGGTAGTTCTCATATAGTGACCATAATTAGGACCAGTAATTCAGTTGTTAAGTGAAGCAGTTACTAAGCTCTGATTGTGCTTATGATGTTATTTTAGCTTTCCTTTGTTTTACAGACCTGAAAAGACCAAAAATGTGAGGATGTGTTGCAAAGTTACTTTTTCATCAGCTAGTAATTGTTAATGGTCACTAAGCAGTTACTAAATGAAGACTACATGTATTTTTCTTGTAAGCGAAATCTTTACAGTATTCAAATGAAATTGGTATGTTTTTCATTAACATATTTTCATTAACATATTTATCCAATGCTGGAGTCTCAATCTGCATCAGAAGATTATTATTTGAGGTGTATAAGTAGCTTTTGATCCTTAGATTTTACCTCAGGGTTAGAAGGGGCTATATCCTTAGTTTCAAATTCTATCTTAAAAGAATTCTGGCTTGACCTAGGAATGTTGTCAGAAAATCTTAAGCAGGAACGTCACGAACAGCAGATAAACTTTCTTGGAAGTCCACTATTAGCAATTTTGCTTTGCACTGTGAAATTATATGGAAACATTTGAAGCATTATTCTACATAGGCTGAACTTAGTAACTGTGAGGTAACATGCTCTCCATCATGTACAGGGCATGTGGTCCATGCATCCCCAACCTATTACCTTCCAGGATCACCACTCCTAGATTTCCAAATTCACTAATAGTTTCCATGAGTGCTAGAACCACCTGCCAACCTGGGTGTTCCTCTTCTTCAATGAAACTTGGCTTCCCATGGTTCTCAACCCAAGATTTTAAGCAATTATGTCCATCTTTCCTATTCTTAAAAATAGGTAGTTTTTTCCTGCTTTTATCAACAGGATCCTAGGACAACAACATGGTGTGGAGGGAGAGGGAACATTTATGTTCTAACTATTCCTTTTCTGGGAGGCAGGGTGACAAGAAGACCTGTTACAGGTTGTAACCAAAGTAGAAATCAGCTTCTGGGAAGGTCATATCTCATTCACTGGTCATCATTATTTAGACACTGACCAATATTGTCCTGAAAATATTGGCCTTCAGCCTGTGAAGCAAGATGATTACCAAGCTATCCTGAAGCACAGAATGGACACTATCACCCAGACATCCGAAGTTTTTTCTACTAATGTGGTGCGAGCAAAGTGGTGCATTAATTCAGAAATGAAGACAGGGCTGAAGGAGGGTGACAACTTGAAAAATGCTGCCCTAAAATCCAGACAACCCCCCCCCCTTTCCTTGCTAAGACCCTGCAACAGATGCACATGGGTTCTGTAGCAGAAAGTCACCATGGGAAGCATTTCCTGCATTGAAAATGGTCACCATGACCTATGTAGAGTATTTCATCCCAATGTTCTTCGGTTTGTAATTTAAAAAAGAAAAGAAAAGAAAGCCTTGTTTTCCACAAGGGGTAATTCTGGTAAGAATATTGTGAAATGATGGCTGAGGGAGAGCAAAATTATGCTTGTTTTCAGTTAATCTTGGGATTTGCAAGGCCCTAGGCCATGTTCCCCTGAATTGTTTGCTCAAAACATTAGCCCTGTGGAATTTAATGGAGGTTGCACCTGCGCTGAAGTTCCCTGGCCCTTATCCGACCAATGGTTCCGCATTCATGCTTCCATTCAACAGTGCATAAGCGTGTTCAGCAATCAGGCTTGATCCCCCAAGCTAAAGATACTTTTTAACAAAGCTTTTTCCAACAATTCAGCATAACTGCAAGAAGCTGCTGCAGTTCTCAAACTTTTTTTTTTCTTTTGTTTTATTTACTTAAACTGTACACAAATGCAAAATACTCGGACAGCAAATGTAAGTGGATGTTGTTTGGTATTTAAATTACTATGGAACAGAACCTACAAGGAACTTTATTAAATAAACAATTCAGGGGGTTTCTTCTTCTTCTTCAAAGGATGCACATCTTGGAATGTCTCCAACATAATGAGGGCATAGAGAAGATATCTATCCAAAGACAATGGAATCTATTTGGTACCCTGAAAAGAAATTGGCAGGCCTTAGTGCCAAGTGTTCAGTATAGTTGTGTGACTGTAGATACTGTGGCCTTGCCATCTGATAAAAATTATAATTAAAATGTTGGCCTCTTTGGTTCCAAACTTTTCAGTATAATATATTTTCGTTGTATCCAGTATGTTTTGTTGGTATAAAAATAACCTTTCCCCCCACTCCCCAAAGGATAGTTTCTTCTGACTAAGTCATGCAACTACATCAGTGCAAACATGAAAACCAATCACTCGCTTTTAAAAAAAGAAGCAAAAGATTTAATTTCAAGTATAAAAAAAATATAAAAAGTACCGTCTCATTTCAGTCCAGTTTCATCCAGTTTGGGTTGACACTTTTAAATTGCATAGCTCATGCGGCACTTGTTTTTAAATCTAGAGAACAGTGAGCAAAAGGAAGTGCACCATCAAGTACCAACCAGTCAAGGCATTGAAATCTGCAAGTGCTATAGGAACGTGCATTCAAGCAGGTTGTGAGTGCTATAGTGTAGCATGGATTTCTGAGCTCTGCAGCCACCCTTGATATGGAAGTGTTTGGAAACCAAACTAAATGTAATACCCTCTACTTGTGCATTCTCTCTCTCTTTCCCCTCCTCAGGATGTAGTAAACATTCTCAGTTTCAAACACTGTGTGCTACTCCTTTCCCCAAATATATCCATTATGTCATTGAGATTTCATTTATGGCTCATACATTTACTTGTGCTAACACTGGCTTCTCTTTCCTTTTGTCCTCTCCAGCTGTTCCCATTGTCATCTTACTGTTACTCCGAGCATGGAGCTTCAACTCCAGGTTTTGATGTTGCAAATCTTTTTGTGAATGTAGTACGGACCATGAGCAAAACTAGAACAGGAAGGGCCAACTCCTTTTTTTTTTTTTTTTTTTACAACATAACAGGGATAATTGTTCACATGGATGGCATGAGAGAACCTAGCTGTCCAATAAAGCATAAAATCATGCCGATCTACCATTCAGAAGAATACAGCTACCATTTCTGATATTAATCACATGGTACTGTTTCTCTCTCTCTTGCACACACAAACATGCATACATACATACATATAGTAAGAGAGAGACTGGTTTCATCAGTGTGTTCTCTCCTGGAAGTGCTATATGCATATCTTACACTTCCCATCAGGAAGAAGGACTTATCTTGCACAGAGCAGATAATCTGCTGCTTTAATTTAGACCTTAGAAATGATGGTAGTTGGTTGCTTGTTTGGTTACTGAAATGCTTGTCTATGAGCATATAGGATTGTTTTCTTGTTTTGTTTTGTTTTTTTAAAAAAAACATTTCATTGTAAATATAGGGCTGGCTGAGAGAGAGAGAAAAAAATCTTACTGGTCTGTATGCATATATCACCAGCAGACCTTTAACTCCTTTACATAATGCCTTCTTCCAAACTGGATCACGCAGTGTGTGCGTTCATGTTGCTGTGTGTATGTGTATATATGAGTATGTGTATGTACATGTATGTACGTGTATACACACACACACACACACACCCATACACTTGTGTCTTTGGGTATATAGGTAGGATTAAGTAATTTGAAAGCATTAGTTTATATGTGGTAGCATACTTTTAGTGTCCAGGATGCATTGACTGCCACTGTCCTGACAACAGAGTGCAATTGATATATATTTATATGTATTTTCAGTGCTATTGCTGCCTTTGCCACTGTTGCCTCTGCAGTAAGGTTTAAACATCCATGCCCAGAAGGAAGAAAAAGAGCAGTAGCGTGTCCAGATCCATTCAGTAGGGGAATCTCCTCACTCCCCCCTCCCTCACCTTCCCTGCCCCCCACTCCTTTCTAGCATCCTCCTCCAGATCAGGCACAGCCACATTCTTCCACAATCATATTGGGAACGTCCCTCTTCACGATGTTGTATTCATCATCAAAGTACAGCATAGATATTGTGCTAAGTTTGGTTGGAATGCAGCAGGAGTTCACGGTGCCTGGGTTCAGCCCTCGCATGCGGTACTGATTCACGACTGCTGTGTGAAAAGAGGAAGCTGAGCCCGGGACTCCAGCCAAATAGGCTGGGCAGCTCCCTTCACAGTAATTCCCATAGTAACCCGCTGGTGCTATGATCCAGTCAGTCCATCCGATGATCTTAAAGTCAATGTAAAACTCTTGCCTGCAGCATAAATTGGTCCGGCCATCGCATTCCAGACCTCTTTTCCGAATCCTGTGCTTGTTGTCAGCCAATCGGGCTTGCACCACTAAAAAAGGCCGGTGGGATTCATCCCCAGAATCCACGTAAATTGGCAGCACTGAATACTCTTCGCAGCCTTCACACTGAATGTCCAAACTCAATCTTCTCTCTCCTTTCTCAAACAGAGCTTGGATTGCTTCTGTCATAGGAAATGTGTGCCAACCACTTCTTTTGAGATCAACTTTCTTTTCAACCACATTCCACTTGTTGCTGGTGTCCGAGTCTTGGAAATACACTTTGACTCTTACTCTTCGCCGGCTGCCTTTCTCCAAAACGTAGGGAAGCAGCTTCAAGTAAAGCCACAAACTGGCTTGAACCACAAACAGATTCTGATTCCCTTCATTAGAAATGAAGAAATAGAGGCGCATTCTAGAGGATGACAGGTCATCTGGAATATAACGGAGGGAGAGAGAGAAAAAAACAACATTAAGTTGACACAAAGATGTTTGTGTTAGGTTTTTCTCAAGGGAAAAAGAAAGAAAATGAATCATGGATTGAAACAAATGCATAACATTATTAAGTGCCACAAATAATATATATAAATGGCTAAACTGAAAAGAGAGGGGGGGAATACACACCATCAGCTATAGATTGCACAGTTGTTCAGTGGCTGAATCAGTACTAGAAAGCCATTATAAAGTATGTTCCCAGAGAGAAACTAATAAGGGTATATAAGGAGAGGGGGAGCCAGATCCTTAGAAATCAGTGTATAAGCAATTAAGTTCAGATAGATGGAAAGTCATGAAAGGAACTCAGAGCACCTGGATAAGTGCTAATTAGTTTTTTTTTTTAAGTGTTGGCCTAGCATAGGCACCCCTCCTGTATAATCTTCCCAGAAAGCACAAATTGTTAACAGTCAGGGAAGGTTTTTTTTTTTTCCAGAGAAAGGATTTGGTTACAATATAGATCCACTGTAAACTCACCCAGTAGCTCTATAATTCTTGGGAAATGCAAGGACTTTCTTGATTTGTCCACTTGACCAAAGCAAATTCTTACTGGGATTGTAAAAGTGTCTGATTTTGATTGTTTCACATTGCAAATAGAAGCATGTTCCTCTGTATAACAGTATTCAGAATATAAAAGTGTCAGAGAAACCCTTCTAGCACAACTATCTCCCTGACATTTCAAAGGGCTGGGGTGAGGCAAGTTATTATTCAGTAATATGAGCCTTACCCACCAGTAGCTCAAAGGGGTACTATCCAGGCAAAGGTTTACTACCGGAGTAATAACTGAAATGACAGGACAGTTGCATTTGTCATAATTGTGCCCAAAGATATAGCTTGTCCTGCGATAAATTCTCTTTTGTGCCATTCTTAAAGGTACATGATGCCTGTTTTATTTATTTACTTGGCATCTGGACACCTAAAAAGAACTAGTCATCTTCTACTCCTTACAGCTATTTTGTTTAACTAAAGGACAAACTTTAGACATTAACTACACACAATTTTTCTGGATATTAAGCAAGTTTTCATTGCAGCCAACGGATGACAGATCTACACTTAGTCATACTTAGAGTTGCTCTTGAAATCAACTTAGTCAAACTAAATCAAATCCCACCGATGTCAGTGGAATTAACTGTGTATCCAACATAACGCCACTGCTGTTTTCTTTTCATTGAGATAAAAGCAAGGAAAGCAGATGCTATGAGAAACTGGTTGCTGCTTTCTGGTTCATATTTATAATATGAACTTTAAATGGAACAAGCTGGCACTGAATCCCTTACCCAAACACCTCTGACCTAGAAATTACTATCCTCGGCACATTTATGTGAAACTCAGCAGGTCTACCTTTGAGCAAATATGCACAGGATCACACAGCTCCAGAGTTTATTCAATATTCTTCATTCTGCTTCAATTCATTCCAATCCAATTCCACATTGTTCAGTATGTTGAAAAGAAAAACCCTAGTGCTGACATTGTCAAGCCAAATTGCAAATCTTTATACTTTAGACCTAGTTCTTGCAATGCCACAGGATAATGCTTCATTAGTATGGGATGGATATATTTTCTTAGTTTATACTCTCCAGAAACACGATGAATAAAATATCATACAGTATATTGAATGTATATTTATCATAAAGCTGTACTCCCAACACATCCAAACGGCATCAAACCCTTAAAGGTAACAATAACATGCCATGATAAACAGGTAACAAATTATAATTCCACTAGGGGAAGAAAACTAAATTTTAGTAATGAATGCATTCACTTATCCCTCTATCTTTTCCTGCCCTGTATGTATTACAATGGTTTTCAAACTTTTTGCCATAAAACAATTCTTTTTAGTGGCTTCTAAGGAACCCCTGAACTTTTGTTATGAATACAACATTGCTGCAATTAATTTAGAAGCACATGTCATATTCACTCTCAGCTTATACATAGGACACTATTAGCCAGTGCTTATTGGGTGTGATCCAGCACACACTTAATATTCTTGTACATTTCTCTGGAAAGGAAATCTTGTTTGTCATCTTTTCATTGACAAGTACCTTAAGAACCTCTAGGGAATAGCATACTTGACAATGGTATTTACACTGGTGGTTTTGCTAGTTGGCAGCTGTAGGACACAGAAATGTTAATATAAAGTATCAGAGAAAGGTAGGATAGACGGACAGATATGGTTTATGAAGAAGAGTAATAAAATCTCACTTGGATATGCAAGAAAGTAACTTCAGCAAGTTAGAGCAGCTAAACTGGAGACATGGGATAGACATGGTGCTATTAAAATAGAAGGAGCAACAGAATCATAGAGAAGCGTAGAAGTAGACAAAAAGGTGGTCATGACACCAGAGAAAGAAATACAAGATGATGAGCCAATATTGTTGTGACATGGGAAATAAGAGGGGGAAATGGATTAAATGCTATCATATAAGCAATTCTTATGGGTGAGTTAATACAAATAGGTGAGATTACAGGGTAATAACTGATCATTTTTACTCATTCATAACTTCATACTGTGGTTTAACTAATACACAAGTGGATGCCTATGGAATAGGAAGTAGAAAGTCTTACAGAATAAAGCATGCATACAAAATGATATGGATGGGATTACCAAAGGAGTATGTATGTTAGGAAAAGAAGTTAGAAGCCACTGAGTGGATGGATATATCTATACCCAGAATACCCAGAAGACTCTGAGGCTGAAGAAGAGGGAGCAGAAGAAACTCAAGTGCTAGGCAGAATGGGGGGTTAGAAAGATAGAAAGATTACTGAGCAAAATAGGTCAATAAAATAGAGCAATAATTAATTTTACTGGTTGATAGCAGGCACAAAAGGAGAAGAATCTATGGCCAGGGAGGTGGGTGGGGCAGGGGGACAGGGTTTGAAGGATGAGAATGGATTCCTGGATGAAGAGGTTAGGAGGAGATATATTCTTTATGACACAAGATTTTTAAAAAGCAGGATATGGAACATTCAGTGGTATACCAAATGGAACCAATGCATAGCAGGAGAAATTGTGATTGGGTTCTGCATGGTAAAGAACTGTGCCATTAGGGTGGCACAGGTTTCTGGCAGTAACACACATAAACCTATAGCCTGTGGGAGGAAAATATGACGAAGAGATCTGATCAGCAGAGCCTGGAGGATGGGTGGCAAATAGATGGGATTTTTGTAGCAGGCATGCTAACAGAACGTTAAGCTACACACCCAATTAGGTTAAGCTACATGCCCCATACGTAGCCATTTAAATGGAGCAAGTACTGCAAATAAACAGAGGATCAAACTTGATCAATTTGACAGAAAGCAACGATGGAGAGGGCCGGGAATGGAGGGGCGTGGGACACATGGCTGCCAGAGGGTAAATCAGAGCAGAGCAGGAGTTACAAAGGTGTGACAGGAATTGAGCCCACATGGAAAACGAATGAAGACGGGTGGGGCAGTAGCCGGAAACGGAGAGGTTAAGGGGGAGCGCAAAGCAGAAGGGTGGGGGTTGCATGGATGGGCCGAGCCAGGACGGCACCGGTTTGGGGAAAACGCCGAGGATGGGCAGTGGAAGGGAAGAAGGGAGTCCCCGCAAGGGAGAAGCAGCAGCAGAAAGCAGGCGGGGGGAAAGACCGGCGGCCTCCAGAGGGAAGCGGTGGGATTGCAGGAGACCGGGAAGTGGCTCGCCGGGGGCAAGTCGTTCCGTGGCGGAAGCGACGGATGCTCGGGGCCAAGGTGGACGGGGTGCGGGTGGGTGGGTGGGTGCGGGGTGCACGGGCGGCCCACCCACCTGTCTCGGCGAAGCTGATGATCTCGGAGACCTGCTGGTGAGCCGCGGGCCCCCCATTCGCCTGCCCGTCCAGGTTGGGGATCTCGACGCGCCCGTCCTCGCGCAACTTGCCGGCGTGCAGCTTGCGCAGCGCCGTGACCATCGCCGCCTTGGGCACGGCGTGGGTGATGTTGGGCCGGTCGCGCATCTGGAGGCGGTTCAGAATGTGCCTCTTGATGGCCTCCAGGAAATCGCCGTCCACTTCGCCGGGCTCTTCGGGTGGTCGGCGGAAGCCGCACGAGGTGCAAGTGTCCAGGGGTGCTGCCCCGGGAGGCGTCGGCGAAGCTCCGGCGCTCAGCATCAGCCAGCACGCCTCCACCAGCAGAAGCAGAAGCGAGGCGGTCAGGGGCCCCTTCCGATCCGCCCCGTCCATGCCGATCACCGGGCAGTTCCGCTCGGAGGTTGAGATGGGAGCTTGGGAGCCGGTCGGTTCGGACGCGCGGAGCTCAGGGCGATCGGTGGAGCGACGGACAAGCCCCACCAGAAGAGTGCCAAGCGGAGCGAAGAAGGCGCGATCTGGGTGAGAACGGCGTCCGAATCGGCGGGGGCACAAAAGGCCAGTCGGAGGAGCTCCGGCGGAGAGGTTGCGAGGCGGAGAAGAAGAAGAAGGGCCGATCGGGAAAGCCGCTTTCCCCAGGGCAGTCGGAGTCCCCCCGCGGCCTCACTCGGTCACTTGCCAGCGGGTAGCTCCAAAGCAGCCAACTCCTCTGTCATGATGTCAGTGGTTTGCCTTCAGGCAGGCAGCGTCCAGCCAAAAGCAGGCAGGAGGTGGAGAGAGAGCGCTCTTTTTTAGCCAAGAGTCGTCGGGGGGCCAAAGGGGAGGGGGAAGACGGGGTGGCGTGGAGGATCCACGAGGCAGATTTGAGAGTCAATCCAATTTATAGCGACAGGCTGGGGGACACTCCAATCAACGATGCCTTCCTATCTTTCGCCACACGAGGAGGCGGTCGGCTGTGGGGGAAGCTCGCCAAACCCAATCCACCCAAGCCGGTCCCTTGATACGCTCTGCAGCTGTCCTCTTCGGCGCGGTGGGCGCGCTCTCCGGTCTGCGCCTTGAGGTCGCTCCTCTCTGACAAAGCCGGTTAACCTGAAAGCAGAGAAGCGGAGGCAAATGGGGAGAGAGGATGGTGAAAAAAAATCCGGTCGGTTGCAAAAGAAAAAAAGAAAAAAACCCTTTAGCAGCTGCTCCTTTCTCCCTGACGGATTTCTCTTCTGGATCGAATTGGGGCTACAGTCCAGCCGATGGGTCCCTTTCCTGGGAGTCCCGCGAGTAATTCACCTTTCCAAGTTATAAAAAAAAACAACAGAAAAAAGAAAGGCGGTTGGAAACAAACGATATCAAAGAAAGCCGCGGGAAGAAGAAGGAAAAAGCTCCCGAAGTAACTTGAAGAAATCTAGCCAGTGAGTCCTGCTTGAAGCTGCTAGCTCACTCGAGGCTCTCCTTCGCCTCAAGCAATCCCGTCCCGGTTCGTATTTGGCACCAGGACTTCTTATGAGTAAGCACAGTCTGCGAGCGCTGCCTCCCTCTGCCAGTTGATCTTTGCTTGTGCCTCGTATTTTAATTTCTCTCTCTAGCTCGCTTCCGCTCCTGAACCTGACGGTTCCGCCCCCGCTCTCCAAGCAAAAGGTCTCGGTTGGAAAAACGCTTCCCTTCTTCTCCCCCCGCCCGCCTGTCCGCTTCTCCCTTCCCCCTCCCCTTCCTTCCTTCACCTGCCAAATCGCAACGTTGAGCCACTTTTCTTTCGAAAACGTTTGTACGGATTGCAGCAAGTTCCTGATGCGGAAATAATCTCTCTGCTCGTTTCTTCAACGAACCCCTATCCCTAATTTCCTCCCTGACACGCGCGCGCGCGCGCGGGCGGGCGCTCACTCACTCACACACACACAAGTGTAGCAAAAGTTAGCAGTTAAAGGTGCCCCTTGCCAGTCTACGAGTAATAACTGTTGGTTTGCAACTCAATAACGTGCCCAGTTGCCAGCCTGTTGGGAGGACAGTTGCAGATGAGAGTTTGTGCAAGGGACGGCCTTAAGACAAAGTGCCTATAGAGATTCTCGATCATCCAGGTCATGGTTGTCCCAAAGGTGCTTAACTGGACTTTTCTTGTCCCCCTTGAAAACGTTTCACTTCGAATCCAAGAAGCTTCTTCAGCAAAACCTTTTCGGGGGGGGGGGGAAAGAAACCCCAAGAAAGTCCAGTCGCCTTTTGAAAAGCACCTTTGGGTTAGGCAAAGTGCACAGCTTCCAGGTCTTGCCTACCAAGTGGAGATAAACCAAGCAGTAGCAAATGCTGGGTTGTTGTGGGAATTAAATAAATAAACCAGACAAAGTGTGACTGTTGCATCAAAGGGACAAGATAGGAAATAACTGTATCTATCCCCAGTAGGGTCCCCAAGCACAACATACCTTACTTGAGAGAAACAGCATACTAAAAGAAATGTTAACATGAGACAGCAAATGGGCTTCCATTGAGTAAGACCAGGAGTTCAGCTGGGCTCCTGGAGACCCCATAGGAATGGATGTACACGTGTAGTTGACCTTGGTATGGAAGAGGTTTCCCCTGGTATGGAAGAGGTTTCCCCTCGCCCTCTACAACATACAGATTGTTTTAAACTTTTCAACACAGGTTACGTTACAGTAGTTCATCATCTCCTATCTGAGAACAAACAAGGTCCAGCTTGTTTAATTTTTAAGATCGGCCAATGTTGGCTGGCACTATCCAGAAACGTACTTATCCCAGAGCTTTCTGGGGGGTTACCTGGGGCCTCCTAATTAGCCCGATTCATTTCTCCTTCAGTAAAAATTTCTGTTTCCCTTAGGTTGGAGTCAAGATTGGAGCCTAGGGCAGATTTAACCCAAAGTATGAATGGCAGGCAACAGTTTTGGAAAGTGCTCTACAAAGAAGTACAGAAAGCAGGACCAACTTGAGCAATCCAAAGATTTGTATGCGCTTTACCTGAAAGTGCAAAGATGTTAGCAGGCATCTCTATACAGGTGGTGTTTCTCATGATCAGCTTCTCTAAAGAAGGGCCAGAGCTACCGAGGCCTTGTACTTTTGAGCCTTAAGGGGTCAAAGGGCTTTGAAACAGAGGCGTTCACGTGTCACCCCTGTCACCCGTGCCCACAAACACTTAGGACAGGGTGCACGTAATGCGCGGCAAGGAGTATCAAAGACGGGCAGCTTGCCAGAGGACCATTGCTCCTCTGCGGCCACATCAAACACGGGGGTCGTACAGGGAGGAAAGGCTGACTGGGAAGTTACAGCTAAGAGATGGGCAGAGGAAGGGAGAGAAAGACAAAAGGCAAAAGGGGCTGGCTGGTGCCCTGCGCGCCTTCCCGCTTGTTGATATTCCGGGGACATGCTCGGCTTGGTCGCGGCCGCCTCTGGCGGGCTTCTCATCTGGGAAATCCCTGGCTTTCCTTAAGGCCTGGCTTCGAGCACCTCCCCGCCATCCAGCGCCCGTCCTTTTTCATCCGCTCTCGCCGAGGGGAGAAGGAGAAAGGAGGGGTTAGGCCGCTTGTCCCCCACCCCGACGTGGGGGTGCGTGGGGACTGGGGGGGTGGCCTTGATTCAGCCGCTCTGGCTCGCGGGCGCGGCTTTTTTTAATAGGCAGCCGCAGGCTCCGAAGGCGGCGAAGAAGGGGAGAGGGGGGCGAGAGAGAATAGAGCTTGCACCTGGCACTGCCAGTGGGAATCTTGCCCTTATCCCGGGCAACAGAGAGCAAAGAAACCAAATAAAAGCCACCCAGCGCACGAAGACAGCACACAGAGAAAAACGCACACGCAACCACGCCGTTAAGAGCCAAACGCTCGCCGGAGGCGGAACAAACACACACCAAGCGAGCGCTTTGCAACAGTGGGAACAGAGCGCGAGGGAAGGTCGGGGCAACGTGGCATCCTTATACTCTGAAGCCCCCACACACACTCCGCCTCCCCCCCCCCCAGAACTCGCGGCCCTATAATGCTCTGAGAATCAGGGCTCCAAACCGTTCCCGCCCTCGCCCCCAGTTAGGCCTCGGCTCTGGGGCCCTTGAGAGCTGAGACCAGCGGCCTCCGGGGCGCCCAAGAGAGTGGGGGGGGAGGGGGCTGGCGGCAAATCTGTCAACGTCTTTCCAAACACGCGCACGGCTCTCAGTGTTTCATACATTCTAATCAAACACGCGTTTTCTCCAGGGAGAGCCGGGTGGATTGACTCTTCTCGGGTCTGAGCTTCTTGAGATTTCTGTCCGCCAGTAACTCTGGGGACAACCTGACTCGGAAGTCGGATCCTCAAGGGCTTTTTCCTTTAGGTCCCGGATCTCAGCCGGAACTTGGCAGTGCGAAGTGGCTCCCTGCCAAGAAGTTGAGCACCGAGTGCCAGATTTGCTAACGGATAGCTCCGTTTCACTCGATGGGTGATTGTCTCCTATGGGGCAACCGAAGTCTATGAGTCGAAGAGTTTGAGGGCTTTGGGCGTCCCGCGTGGGGATTCCGTTGATTCGGATTAACACAATCTGTGGGGCCCACGCGCGCCACTCCTGAGCCCTCGGCGCTGCTTTTCAATGGCTACCGCGGAACACAGCGGGATTCAAAGGGGGCGCGGGAAAAGCACCGCCGACAGAACAGAGGCTTTGCTTCGCCGCTGCCGAGGATGCCGGCGGCAGGTTCATTGAAGGCTTTTTTTTTTTTTTGCCTTGGCAGGAGAGCCACTTGGCCACCCGCTCCAGGCGGGGTAGAACCAGCCTCCCCCCCCCCACCCTTTGGGGACAAGGCCATGCGAAGGGGGCGAGTCTGTTACGAAGTAGGCGAAAGAAGAGCCGTCGCCGTCAGGCGCCTCCCTGGTCCTCTCTCCGGCAGGCCTGAGACGATCCGGGGAACTTTAGGCAAATGGCGCCGCCTGTCGCTTATTGCTGGAAAAGGGCCAGCTGCCCACTGGAAAGGTTCGCCCGCTTCTCTACTCGCGCGGTCTTCGGAGGAGGTGTTATGGCAGACAAAATGGATTGCTTCCGTTGTTTTTATACTTCCTTGGCCTTGGTAAGGCCTTGGGGCAGATTCTTGCCGAATTTTCTTGAGGTGCTAATAATTAATCCATTGATAATCAACGATTTGGAAGCGCTAGCTTAGCCTGCCTCTTTCACCTCCCCTGCCTTAATATCGGAATAACTTTGCAACTGTAGGGGGATCCTGCAGGTGTGTTGAAAGGTGAACGCTGGAATGTTTTCAAGATTAAAGACCCCAGTTTGAAGTTTAAACTGGGTGCTTCCCCACTTTTTTCTGCATCTTGAGCTGTTTTCTGCAGAATCACTGCCAGTTTCCAGTTGGCAGCACAGACGAATCGAATAGTTTGTCTTCCTCTCCGTTTGCTAAAGAGCTTTGTGGGCACTTTGTTAAGAAATGCTGTTGCATGAAGTAATTAGGTCAAGTGCAGAGACTACCAAGTGTAAATCGGAATGAATTGCCCATCTCATACCAAGATTTCTATTATGACAAGTATCACCTTAAGGTGATCTACTTTCTGCTGCTCTTAGGCAAGTGGCTGTCATATCACCCCACAAACTTGTTCACACATCATTAACCCAAAATTTGGTTTTATGTTATAAAATTGTTTACACATCATTAAACCACAGTTTAGCATTATTTTATAAAAGCAGAGGCCAAGAATAAATAAAAGCAAGTGCAGAATATAATGATATTTCCTACCTATATTAAGATTGCAATCTATATACTTGTAGTAGAAAATAACCCCACCAAATACAACGGGAATTACTTTTGCATAAATAAGAATGGGAGAATGGATTTCATGTAGTCTGGCTTTATTTCAACTTTTCCTGAAATTCATTGCATTGTATGAGTGCCTCCTATATATATATACTAGGCCATCCATTTCCCTATAAGTCTTAGTTTCAGAGATATTTCCTTACCTAAATAGAGAAACAAAATTACCAAGGATGGATAAAAAAGAAGTGGAAGCAGAAGCTGGATTCCCCATTGAATTTCATTGTGGGAATCTGGCAAGGAACATTGGAAATCTTCCCTTCCCTTTCCTTCTGCTGCTGCTGCTGCTGCTGGGTGCTAGTAGGTGGGTGTCAGGCCCAAACCCAAACACAATACAGACAATTCATTCGAGACCTTGCCTTTATTTTGCTGCACGTAATAGCCAGAGTCTTGCCAAACTAAATAGCAATAGTACTTAGACTTATATACAACTTCACAGAGCTTTACAGCCCTCTCTAAGTGGTTTACAGAGTCAGCATATTGCCCCCAACAATCTAGGTCCTCATTTTACTGACCTCAGAAGTATGGAAGGCTTGAGGTGGTGAGGGTCAAACTCCTGGCAGTCAGCAGAATTAGTCTGCAATTATGCATTGTAACCATTGCACTGCCACAGTTCCTGGTTATGAGGCTATAACCTAACCTGCTAAATATATCCTGAAAGTTTCTGTGATGTGGTTACCATAAATCTCTTCCCCCTTTCCCCCTCCAGCTGAAGACTGCACAGTCTCTTAATCCAGGCCTCTCTCTGACAAGATTTATTGTCTCCTCCCTCCCTTTTGGCTCTGTATTGCCAAAAGTCCTATCCACTAATTCCACAGGTGCATATTCCATCATGGGGGAGGGAGGGAGGGATTGCGAGACTGGCTGGGAAACTGTCAGGGAAAACAAGATCAGCACTGAAACAGCCACAACTTGCCCAAATTTCATTTATTCAGGGGTCATGAGTTTGATTTGACACACATTTAATAAGTTAGTTCATTTGGTAGACCTTGATTCAAAAATT